CTCGGGGAAGCCGCTTGCCAACGGAAAGGAACGACACGCATCCCTACCGCATGAAGCTCTCTTAACGCACCGGTTCGAGCTATGGGCTCACTCTTTCTGAGAAGTCATCCAGCGATGAAGAGTTTCACATACGCTTCTAAGGCTGTCGTAAAACTGCACAAAATTACTTGTAGCTGGATATTTTAAAAAGTGAACGATTGACTTTTTGGTGGTTCATTTGCAAAAGCTGAATTAGCTTGTAGTCTGCAATTAACTTACTGCCAAAGAAATAGAAGCATTAAAAGTGTTAGAAATGCCTTTCTTCTACCACCCTCTCCTTCAGAAAGAATTAGTAAGTGCCAAACAGAGCACATGGTCCATCTCATTTGTACAACTACACAAGCAAAAGGTCGCAAAGGGAGAGGTACCTTGAGGAGAAAAAAAAGGATGCTATTCTTCCCCAAAACAAAAAAAACCACCCTTAAAGCACCTTAAAAAGACATTGTAATACAAAGCAATACGCAGCCTTGACGTCCACATTATTATCACCATGTTTTTCTTAACACTATAAATAACCTACTGTAAACACCAGTTCATATAATTCTAGTGTGTCTGCAGATGAGGCTAAACACGAGTGTGAAACACTTTTGACTCTTCAATTTTTAATTGAATGTCATAAGCACTGGATAACCTTTAAAGCCTTACAAATATGCTGAAGTACTACAGAAAATACTTCTCGTGCAATTGTTTTGTAGTTGCTTATTTATTTTGGTATTGGTTCTAATAATTTGTACCTGTGTTTTTACATTCCTCTTTTTTCCTTTTTTTCATAGCTCCAGAACTAATATTCCTAAATATGACTTTCTTTGGGCCTGGTCCTGTGAACTTAGGTAAGAAACCTCATTACCAGTAGTAAGTACTATTCCATAGAAGATGCTTGCAAGACTGAGACCATAGTCTTCTGTAACAGCAAATTAAATAAAGGTTGTTGGAGAGTACTTGCTTTTCGTGGAAATCAATGTGTTTATCTTTTCTTATATTGTTCCATATGACTTCCACTTGTATTTAACCCTTAATTAAATCAAATATTTCATTTTTTATTTACAATTAATTTTCCTGTGTAAGAAAAGAGGTATCAATGTATTTTCTCCAGAACCATAGTTTTTTAACACCCTTTTTTACTCAAACTTTCACTAGAGTTCAATGAAACATACATTTCTAAGTCTGTGCTGCACTCTACTTGAGGGGAACTTGTATAAGCATACTCAAATTAGCTTTAACTAAGGTATCTTGGGCAACAGAAGCAAATACGGAGCAGTGGAACAGGCTAGCTCTCCAGCATCTAGAATCCCTAGATACATGGTTTGTGTTAAAGCCTATTATTTGTAAATCCATCTAGGTAGGCTGGTGAATCTAGGAGGCAAACATGACTAGAAACTGAAGCCCCGCTGTTGAATGTTATTTGTATAGCACTTATATACCTTTTGCACAATTATAAATTCTGTTTTAGTTGCATGCAAGTTCTCATTTGTGGCAATTAGCTAGAGCCTTTGAAAGCATAGAAAATACTTAAAATAATCTTTCTCTTCTTCCCTGTAAAAAAAATGTACAAAATAACCTCTGTGTTTTTTCAGTTCTAGTATTATGTCTCATAGCTTTTAGTATGATTCTGTAATGAATTTTACCTTGTAAAATGCTAGCTTTAAGAATGTTTTCACCTCACACAATTTTGTTATTATAATCGATTCCAATTACTATTTTTAACATTTGATATCAAATATCAAGGCTACAGTGACATCTTGTGGCATTTTTTTAACTGTAGATAAAGAAGCAATTTTCTTCTAGTCCTGTTGCATCGTTTTAAGACTATATCCTGATTTTTTCAACATGGATTTTTTTAAAATACATCTTTTAGATACCATTTTTGAAATCCTGTGTTGCATAAACATTAATTTCTACAGAACATTCAGAGGTGGTGATGAATCTGTTTAGATTCCAAAATATTTCCAAATTACATCTAGATAATCTCTTGGAAGAAACCATCACATGCATATTATTTTGTTAGAAATATAAACTCTCAGTAATATATTTAATTAAAGAATCTTAAGGCACTTTTATAACCATCAAGGGATAAAAAGTTACCAGCCTTTAAAAAATAAACAAAACCCTTTTGGTTCCTAAACACAATGAATTACGGCTAGAGCTGAAGTCTTATATTTAAATTTTTTTTGCTATCTAAGCCTAACTGCTGTGTTTTTTGATGGCTTTTTTTCCTCTTGAGTGAGCCTTACCTAAATTAAGTGAATGTATGTGCCAACAAGTACACGTTTTTAAAAAATGAAATCTTGGTGCTGCTCAGCTGTATGCAAACTGTGAGCTTACTTTAGACATCTAACACTGAAAAACTTGGTCAATAATCTGAAAATAAATACATTGCAAATCTGTTTTATGTATTTTATTTGACAATGGTACAAATTTACCAATATGATAAAAGCTTGTTCTATTAATTCTTACACTGATACAGAAGAACAAAAAAAAAAACCACCAACCCAAAACAACTCCTTCCCCCCAACACAGAACCCAATACTAAGATTTGGCTGAGTTGACAGCTCATTTCACATTTTAAAAGTAAGGTAAACAACATCCGAGAGTCTTCACAATTCTAGTTGATACTTGTGCTGGTTTTGACTGGGATATATAGTAGTATACAAACAAGTCTATGATCCTTCCAGAAATGCAACTTTCCTAGTGGTAGTTTACTGCATTTCATTTACTTACTGGTCTTCTGTAATTTCTGTTCTGTGCACTATTGTCATGGTTTAGCTCCAGCCGACCACTAAGCCCCACACAGCCGCTCGCTCACTCCCCACCCCCCAGTGGGATGGGGGAATAACAAGGAAGGGGGGGACATTGGGAGTGATGGCATTTGTCTTCCCAAGTAACCGTTAGGCATGATGGAGCCCTGCTTTCCTGGAGATGCTGAACCCCTGCCTGCCGATGGGAAGTGGTGAATGAATTCCTTGGTTTGCTTTGCTTGTGTGCGTGGCTTTTTCTTTACCTATTAAACTGTCTTTATCTCAACCCACAAGTTTTCTCACTTTTACCCTTCCAATTCTCTCCCCCATTCCACCGGGAGGGATTGGTGCTTAGTGGCCAGCTGGGGTTAAACCACGACAATACTGCACAGAACAGAAATTACAGAAAACCAGTAAGTAAATGAAATGCAGTAAACTACCACTAGGAAAGTTGCATTTCTGGAAAGATCACAGACCTGTTTGTGTACTACTTATCACTACAGCACAATAATTAAAAGCTACTTTTCACTATTACAACAAAATTAAGCAGACTTTACATTGCCATTTTATGATTTTGCCCTTTAAATCTTGCAAAATACTAGGAAGACTTCACTGAACAGAAACCAAATCCTTTGACACTGATAGAACAAGGCAAAAGAATCCTCCATTCCCCCAAAGAAATCCAAAGACTCACACCCAGAATCAGCCATGCTGTAAAGAACTTGTTACATTTTCCAACCACTTTTTGTTCAGCTAACGTATTACAAAAAATGATAAAATTATACACTATTTGTGCAGATGCTATTTGTGTACTAGGTATTAGCTGTTATTGATTGCCCATAGATCCTTTGAACTGATACTAAGAATCAATTAAAAGCTGATGCAGGTGAAACTAAATCTAGTTTGGATGCCAGATTTGATTCCTCTCTGTGATCCAGGAAAATCACTGTCTTTTGTTCTTTCCTCCGTACCACAAAAAAGTTCTGTAACTGCAATGGAAAAGGTTTGTCCTGTCTATGTTAACACAACATTTCCAGAACTAGAGAGTCTCAATGTAACAAAAGCTGTTAATAATAGCTCTGTTTCTTGCTATAGGTGAAACCGGGGAATTCAGAGACTGGTAACAGTCCAGCCCTGTCAATTATCACTGTACCTTAAAATACTTTTTTTTTTTAATAATGCTTTACCCATTCATTGCACATTTTAATTCTGTTGTCATAGCCACCAAAAACAGAGATGAAAGGAACCAGAAAGTAAAGTAAATACTCATTTGAAAGAGTAGTTAAAAAACCAGTAAACCTGTAATATTACAAAATGTATACTCTAATAAATGTAGAACAGCTTGCTCTTATTAGGAATTGTAAATAAGACATTTTTAAAAAGTGAGGATTTTCTTGGGTGCATTTTTGTAACAATGTACATGCAAAATACCAAAATAAAACTAAGTACTAAAGAGAGTATTAGTAAGTAATATCCCATCCATTTCTTCTGGCTGCTTATCTAGGTTTCATATTTCATGTATTCATGTTTCTTAGATTTCCAACTGCTAGGTTTTACCTTTCAGCTGCTTGCAGCATTTCAGCAACTCTAGGCAAATTAAGAATAGGAAAAAAAGCCACATCAGAGACCATTTTCCACAATCTCAGCAGTAGTAGATATTGTAGGCAACGGTTTTAGGACTATCTGAGATTAAGGTGAGGTACTCTTTTCTGGCTTGTTTTCATAGCAGCTTCAGGAACATCTCAGAATACAGAATAGCTTATATACAAACTTCAAAGGGGTTTTGTACAGGAGTCTAGAAGCCTGGCCAACAGTTTATTGTAGCCCTTCTATAGTTTCACTGGGAACTGGGTAGTAGGAGGTGAGGAGAGGAGGGGGAAGGCAAGGAAGCATCTCAACATATAACTATCAAAAATATGCCTAGACCTCATTTGACTAGATACATATATTTAAAAAAAAAAAAGAAAACTTAAGCCCTGAAGGGTAGGAGTGCATTTTTGTCTATGTTTCTGAAGAACTGGCTTAATTGTAGTATCTCTTCAGGTTTTAAGGAAAGAGGATGATTTTATCACAGCTAAACATTAGCATATATTATTTAAGTTTTCTCAAAACTTACCTTGAAGAATTAGTAAGAAAGGAAAAAAAAAATACGTAAAAAGCCAAATGGAAAAAATTCAGAGGCTACAAATAAGGATGGCCAAGATGCAGTAATTACACCTTTTCTCTCCTTGAACTCAGTACAATTCACTGAGTATTGTTTAACATTTAACCCCTTAAATTCATTGGCTTACATTTTATTTTTGTGATTGGCATAATTAGGAAAACCAAACTGAGAAATCATGATATTAGAATATTTTAAAGGCATGCCATCATAAATATTAACCAGTTTATTTACACAGTAAGATCTCTGTAACAAATGCTCTGCTCGGTGCCACATTCCAGAATAGCCACTGTTAGTGTCTTTTTCTAAATTTCTTATATCAACAGGCTTCACAAACACTCCTGAAGGCTTTCCAGTATTCTTGGCTACCAGAAAATTCATGGCAATATCATCACAATTTTGAGTTTCATCTATTAAGGCGTAAACAGCTTCTGGCTGTCTTTGAAAGTCTTCTAAATACCCACTATGAAAAAATGCTGCACCAATAAGAACCATAGAATACTGATCTCCGTTTCCAAATCCAGGATTCTGCAATTCAAAGCTGCCATAACTGTATACACCTGAAGGAGTAGAAATGTGCTTTCTAGGAACAAATCCCACTATATGCTTTGGAAATTGCTGAAAGAAGAAAGAAATTTAAAAGTCAAAATGAAGCCCACACTGTGAAATGTGTGTTAAGTATTTTCATAAGAGATTTACGCTTTTTTTAAGTGAGAGGAGCACAAGATTATTGCCAGAAAGGATGAAATTGTTGGCATATGGTCCTTTGATCTGCATAAACGTTGCAATTAAATACAGTTTTGCAAAACTTACACAATATGCCTCATTCCACGTAATGTAGTGCCAAGAAACATCTATCCACAATTTGCAGCTGTATATTTGGCACTCAAAATAAGTTTACAGACAATTTCTCTTAGAGAGAAAAAACACACACACTTTTGTTTTGCAGCCTACTATCAAGTTAAATAAATTCAGCAGTCAGCAACTTCAGTGTTCATGTACAAGAAGAGTTAAAAATTTGAAAGTTATAGATTACAGGTATAGCTACTATTGAAGAATATTTTTGCAATTTCTACTATTCAATGCTTCAATCCTTCTAAAGTTTAACTTTATAGCTAGAAAATCAATGGTAAAACATTACGATATAGTATTACTCTAATTAAAACCATTAATCTCAATTGTAACTCACAAATATTGCCTGTCAAGGTGCAAAACATTACCTGCCAAACAGAAAAGGCAAAAGCAAGGTCATGAGCACTGACTAGTGTATCATCATCCATCATTAAAACAGCTGAAGGGAGGAAAAAAAAAAGAAAAACTTTTAACTTCTCAAAAGATCAAATACATGAGCACAGTATGCAGCACAGTATTTGACAAGTTAGCTGTGAAACTTCTATAACCATTAAGCTGAATTGCAGAACTGAATTGTAACTCCTTGAAAGTAGATTGAGAAAACATGTTTAGATTTCAAAGCTAAAGCAAGGTTGCAGCTTTGTGGTAACTGGAAGCAAACCTAAGTTTTAGATTATTTGCCAGGCTGTAACAAAACTCAGCAACCTTTGATCATCTGCAATACAGCTGGACAGATACGTGTTGGAAAACTTGGGAGTGTTTGGCAAAGCAACTTAAAATTCTACTAATCTTCTGTAAAAATACAACTAAAATAAAGTTAGATACCATTCTTTAGTGTTTGAGATTTATAGGGATTCTTAGTATAACAATTTACCCATCTCCTCACTACTTGCAAGTTCTAAGTATGCAAGCTTAATAAATTGCACGGGCAATGTTCAATATGATTAACTACAGAAGGAAGAATCTTTGCCTTAAATTTTAGGCAAAAGACTATCAGGAAGTGGAAAAGGAAAGATATTCTTAGATCAGAACTCCAGATGCATGAAAGCTTTTGAAGTTTATAGTCAGAATAAATCCTATTACAGTAAATAAAACACTTGGGAAGTTGAAGTTTCTGGTGTCTTCCTAGAAGTCATGGGTTTTGAGTAGCAAGGCATGTTAGGAAGGGGACAGTAAATAGAATTACCTTTACTAATCATGAGTAAGGTCAGGTCTGTAATGCAACATTTGGGGTTTTTTTCCACTTGAAATAAACAGGGCTTATTGTTGTGCTTCTCCTGGAAAGAGCTTAGGAAGAATATTTAGATGAATAGCCAAAAGACTGGGGAAAACACTCTTTAAAAGAATGCGTAATTGGAGATAGAAAGCCAGACAGCTCGGGAGGGAAGCTTCTCTGAAGAGCAGAACATGCTTGAGAATTTAGTCTTAAATTGAATGGATTAAATCAAGTCTTTACCAGATGACTTAAGTCCAAATTAATGCAGAGACTCAACAAATACATGCGCTATGAATTTCAGTTTACACTATAAAGAGAAGAGAGGCTGAACTACCCATGTTGCCTGACAAAGGAAATGGAGAACAGACACAGTTGCAAAAGCCCATGAAATGCATTTGACATCCCTCTTTTTTCCTTACTCTTTATTCACAGCCTCTAGCCTGCTGGTGGTTGTGGTGGTGGTGTGCATCTGATATCTTAACATAGGCTTCTTTGAATATTGCCCACATGCCATCAAGTGGCCCAACAAATCCATGGATTTATTACATAGCATAACTCAAACCATCTCTCTCTTAGCATTCAGATTTTAAGTGTGAAAATAGTATTAGTAGTAGCGATATGAACTGCTGATTACCTTTTGTTTCCAGCTCAGGGAAATTCTGGAGTCTGTTCCTCATGCGATTTACAGTTTGAACTTTAAAGACAACAGGGACAGGATGAGGCCCCAAGGAATTCCACATTTCCTCTGGTATCTTCTCACCAACGTTGTTCCACACAACAATTACTTTATGTAGGTGGGGGATGGCTTGGTAATGATTTAAAAGCTTTAGCAGTAAGTCAGTTCTATTGTATGTCTGCATAATAAGAGTAAATGAATCCAAGGCAGACTGACTCTGGGTTTTTGCTTCCCTTCTCAAATTGGGCATTTTGTCATCTTTGATGTTGGGAAGCAAAGCTGTTAAAGCACCTGCCACAAGAAGTAAGACAATGATCACCACAGCAGTGCAGCGTAGTAGGCGGATTCCCATAACTCTCCCTGGAAGCTTACAGAAGTGAAAATACCTTTAAAACAAGTAACAGGAAAGGAAAAGTCATTAATCCCACGTACAGTTATCTCCCTTACTTGAGCAAAACTCCCACAATATTAAGTAGACTTTTGTTTAAGTAAATAAATAAGGAGGATTTTAGGACTTGTGCCAATTACTTTCAACTATCAAGACAGATATTTCTGGTACTCAGTTTCTGTGTTTACTTGCTTTTCACTTTTTTGGTTAACTTTGAATTTCACTGTTCTGTGAAAATGAATCTAGAGTAATTCTTTAACTCTAGATTGTTCACCATCTCTTATTTTCTCAGTACTGCATTTTTGACTGAACATTTACATACCTCACCAAACCCATCCATCTGAACTTAGAAAGCAAATTTGTACAGAGATTCAGTATTTTCAGCATTGCAGGAGCTCTGCCTTAGCTGGGAAACAAAAGGGAAAGAAGGTGCCTCCTCAAGACTCTGGCAGAAAGGAGGAAGTTAAATGGTCTTTCTTTTTCCGTTACTTAGGCATCATACACAGAAGGAACAATCTTTATCACTGATTTGCTGGACATTTTGTAATTTGTGTATCTACTCGATAATGGTTATTAATGTGGAAAATACGATTCTGATCATACTAACTGAGGCTATTAACACAAGTGGAGCAAAAGAAACATGCCAAATGGAGTAATGTAGGAATGCAACAACATCAGTAACAGCTAGCCTGCTAAATCTAGAATTCAGCGGAAACTGGAAATGTCAGATGCTGGTGCTGTGTATCAGCTAACTGGGGGAGCAGCCTTAGTATAACGGAGGGGTTTCTGGATCCTCCTGGTTTTGGAACTAAAGAGGAGCTATGAAAAAGCAGCTCCTACAAAGGTAGCCCCAACATTCATGCCTCTTAGGTAGCACTCCCAGTCCTCCAGACATTCATAAATGGTAATCTCAGCAGGATCCAGCAGCCACTGCATTCCATAGTTTGCACCTCAAATGTGTCATCCACATCTGTTCTTCCTCCTTTACTCGCAAGATTAGTATGAACTGAATACAAGATGAATATTCTAAGCTTATTACTAAACAGTTACTCATATATACATGTTACTCATGTTACTCCATTAGTAATTTCTAGGCTTTCAGCAGGGAATTCTGATCAAATTAAGTGATCTAGGACAGCCCCATCAATTACAATTTTTGAGAGAGTATCTGTGTGTTTTTTCACAGAAGTTTTGATCATTTTTTTCCACAGTGCATATACCATGCTTGAAAATATGAATGTAAATTATTTTAGTCTGAAAAACCTCTCAACTTACCTCATTGTTGCCAAGTAGGATTGTTTTTCCCCCCTTGTTTTTACAGGACAGTTGTTTGTGATCTTCAAATCTGTTGGAAATTAAAGGGACTCTATAACTGAAGATCAACAGTTATTCCACATGCGACCCAGCATTCTTTTACACGTAAACATTCCTCTCAATTACTGATTGATGTACACATTCCTGGCAATTATCCAATCCCTTTTCTTATTACTCAGTTGAATAATTGTCTCTGCCTTTCAACAGAAAGAAGTTATTACACCAGTTGGTTAGAAAGAATAGCACAGTGTATGTCTCTGCTTGTAAAATTGTTGCTTTGTTCCAATGCAATGTCTATGTGTTCCATCCTTAGGGTCAACTACAGAGACACAAGTAGGTCTCCAGAACCTCACAGTCTGTTGCTTTTTCACCAGGCACCACTAAAATATATATTTGGCTACCACAGTCAAGTAAGTAGTCCCAATAAAATTATTTTCTTTTCTGTCTCATCCCCTTCACACTGCCCTTCCACTAAGCTTACCAGTTGTGTTAGAGATTTAAGACACAGCATTTTGTTCTTCCCATCTGGTTTGGCAGCTTGGCAGAAGGGAAAGCAAATATGAGTGTAAGCACAAAAAGGAAGGATGCACAAGATGCAGGACTGCAACCTACGAAACCTGTGTCTGTTAAGGCTCCTAGGTTGTTGGAGGGATTTTTGTTCTTTTAAAACTAGTTGAACAAAAAAAGGGAGTTTTTATTTTTTATATAGAATGGTACTATAAAGGTTTAGAGAACAAGAACTTGTATTTAATAATTGAACCTATGTGAAATTTTGTAAGAGTAATTTGTTCAGGTTATATAAACTTACTTCTTAAAAGTACAGAATTGCCAATTTGTGTGGATACCAATCTGAGTATGTCCACAGGTCTTCCCAAATTTGAGTTCCAATTTTACCACTGACTTATTTTGTGAGGCTGGAGAGGTCACTGAAACTATTTCCAGAAGTTAATCATTTGTTTTGGTTGCTTCATTTTATAGGTGTAAACAACCATGCCTGACTTTTAAAACTGACTGGCAGCAGTAACTACTTAGCATTTTTTAGGACCACCATATCTTGGTCATACGTGCTTTTAAAAAGGTTAACTTCAGACTCTCTTTCCTCAATTGCAACCTAGACACAACAATAGTTACCAATACTACTGTAACAATTAATTGGTTAAAATTTAAAAGCATACTTAAGATGAAAGTGTAAATGTTGTTTACTGTAGTAATAAGACTTCCTGGCTTGCCATACATTCTTCTGTTTACTCAACTGCATACAATAGGCTGTAATGATAAGTAAGGATGATATTATTATATATTCTCTAGTTAAAATAAACGTCTATATAAAATCTTTAGAATTAGCATCATGGCACTTTCCAGTAAGAAAGTGCCGATCAGTTTTGCCAATTGAGTTACGAAATTGCAATGCAAGGTTGACCTCTTTAAAAAATTCTTACAATACCCCCTGTAGAGAACTCTTCTTCAAAACAAAATTGACGAAAATAAAAACCCTATGTCAAAATACAATATTTTAATCCTCATTCCAAGAAAAAGACTTCTTGAACAGGCTCCCCTCTCTTCGTGGGCAGCACCTCACAACAGCCTTTCATAACAGTGGCACGCAGCCAGGCAGCTGAAGCGAACAGCTTCCCCGCCCGGGCAGAGCACGCCGGCCGCCCCCTCACGCGCGGTTTCGCTCACGTTCAGGAGGGCGCCGGTGTCGCCGCCTGCTTCCCCGGCGGTGAGGCGCT